AACTGTGACATGACACAACAGGGAGGTCCGGATCAATTATCGCTCATCCCCTAGCAGGCTAACAAGCTCCGCAGGGTCAGATGCTTGTTGTCTTTGATCTCAGCTATTCATCCTAATATATTTTCCTAACGCCTTTTAATTTCTGTGGTTGGCTCTTTTTTCGTAAGCAGTCGGAAGCCAAATGCAGATGACAAATCTCTAGTGTAAACAGGAAATAGGTTTAAGACAGAGCAGAAATGCATCAATAAGTAGTCCCTTCCTGTTTTCAAAAAATTGCTTTTATTTCCATAGTTATAGAAATAAATTTCATCACATAAAGTTCAGTTCATGACAAAACATGCAGAGCATTCGATATTCTGCATACAGATCTATTTTGCACAAATTTTAATTCTGTGTACAATAATATACCGCAATATGCTCAGCAATATTCTGTATTCAGATATAATGCAAATCGCTCAATTCTGTATACAGGATTCTGTGTACAGCATTATCCTTCAAAACAAAGAGAAAAAGTTAAAATTCTGTGTAAAAAATTCAGAGCAAAGTTGTACGTAGAAGGCTATGATATCTTACAAAATGCAGAGCAATTTATCTTATGAACATTTTAATTAGCACTACAGGCTTGCTATAACCACATTCGTTGGGTTTTTTCACAATATATTAACATTTAGAAACGTCTTGTCCATTTTCTCTGCAAAATGCATTTGTCACTGTTTGAAAAAGTGTTTTTTTACGAAAATTGTTTACAGGAATAATAGTGTATTATCGTAACAAAATGATATCCAATGTGTTGTGTTTATGACAGTATGTCTGATACATGTATATTAATGAAAACAATCATGAAAAAAATGTCAGATAACTGATATACTGGTATTCGTTTGGAAATGTTTGGTATATGTAATATCGATGTAAACATGGATACCTTGACTTTTACAGAAGAATGGCTTGATTGTTTCGCTCTTTAAATTCATTAAATGTCTCTGAGAAAATCATGCGCGGCTAACATCATCCAAGTATTGGTATGTAAGTTTGAACACAGTAATTGGAGATTCCCATCCCCCTGTGTTACAACATGAACCAGTATTGCTGGAAGCGTGAGATTTCCATTAGTCTTGTGATAGGAAGTATTGACCTTGGAACATCGACTAAATCTCGTTTTGTTGTGTAATGGTGTTACTCATCAGACTGGAAATTCTATATAGGAATTTAGCAATTAAAATCTGAACAAGTCTGCTTTGTGAATCAGGCAGACTCTGTTACTCGGGGATCCTGTGATCATGTAGTGTAATTAGCTCAGTGGTAAAACCAGAGGCTATCAGAATGGACCAATAATAAATGATGAGGGTATCCAAATGCTTTAAGGATGTTGTTTTGTTTTACCTGGAGAACAACTTGTATAAATTTTCTCAATGAGATCCAGAAGATTTCTTAATATTGATACTAACCACAAAAATAGATTTGACATTTTCTGTGAAACTTCAATAAATCAATTTTTATTTTGTTAATCAATACTTCTTTTTTTATTGATGTATTTTTATTCCATTCACTTAAATTACAATGCTTGTAGAATGTCAAATGCCTTTTATACATTAAAGTTCTTGAGAAATAGATTCAAAATTTAACTTGAGTGTTTTGTTTTTGTTTATATTAGTCTAAATTGCTATAATGCATAAGTGATAATACATCAAAAAGCATGTCTGCATACTGTTATCACATTAGCAGAGTTTAAAAAGAAAACCAGCAATTCAATTACAAAACATGATGGCAATTTTTGGATGAGAGAAAAAAAGCAAGCATTAATCTTTGTACAAATAGAATACTGACATATGGTTTCCACATAATTAAAGAGCAAATTTGATTTAGTGCATACTTCTAATTTTTGAGCAAGTACAGAAAAGTGATATGGTACAGTATACACATATTCCTAATAGTATATCTGTTGTGAAGAGTTATAATCTCTACAGTTTTAATAGTACAGTCATTTCAGACCATGATTAAACATTCAATTGACTTTGAAACAAAAATAAAATGATCTTTTACTGTCCCAATCTTAAACATACATTTTGTCTAGAAGCATTCAAGGTAGATATATCTATTTTATGCCAAGAAGAGCCTGAATCGTAAGATTGCCTACGCATACTCTCTATACTCACACTAGAGTTCAGTAAACTACGTTTACTCCGGAGTACAGTAAACTGTAGGGTTTCTCCGGAGAAAGGTTAACCATGCAGTACAGAACAATTGTATGGCCATGAAAGATAGTTTTTACAGTCCCTTCCGTATGATACTAAAAATTACAGCTAATGAGATGGCACTGACGTATTAACCTACACCTATAGAGCTTCACTTCCTGTGTAACAGATACTGACCAGTGTAACCTACCTAGGACTATTGTGGGCTAGAGTAACAGGCAGAATTCTGACCAGTGTAAACTCCCCAGTACTATTGTGAGCTAGAGTAACAGGCAGAATACTGTCTGATATAACCTACCCAAGACTATTGTTGGCTAGAGAAACAGACAGAATACTGACTGATGTAACCTACCCAAGACTATTGTGGGCTAGAGAAACAGGCAGAATACTGACTGATGTAACCTACCCAAGACTATTGTGGGCTAGAGTAACAGGCAGAATACTGACCGATGTAACCTTAGCACTATTGTTGCCTAGAGTAACAGGCAGAATACTGGCTGATATAACCTACCCAAGACTATTGTTGGCTAGAGAAACAGGCAGAATACTGGCCGATGTAACCTACCCAAGACTATTGTTGGCTAGAGAAACAGACAGAATACTGACTGATGTAACCTACCCAAGACTATTGTTGGCTAGAGAAACAGACAGAATACTGACTGATGTAACCTACCCAAGACTATTGTGGGCTAGAGAAACAGGCAGAATACTGACTGATGTAACCTACCCAAGACTATTGTTGGCTAGATAAACAGACAGAATACTGACTGATGTAACCTCCCCAAGACTATTGTGGGCTAGAGAAACAGGCAGAATACTGGCCGATGGAACCTACCCAAGACTATTGTTGGCTAGAGAACCAGACAGAATACTGACTGATGTAACCTACCCAAGACTATTGTTGGCTAGATAAACAGACAGAATACTGACTGATGTAACCTCCCCAAGACTATTGTGGGCTAGAGAAACAGACAGAATACTGACTGATGTAACCTCCCCAAGACTATTGTGGGCTAGAGAAACAGACAGAATACTGACTGATGTAACCTACCCAAGACTATTGTGGGCTAGAGGAACAGGCAGAATACAGACCGATGTAACCTACCTAAGACTATTGTGGGCTAGAGTAACGGGCACAATACTGACCGGTGTAACCTACCTAAGACTATTGGGGGCTAGAGTAACAGGCAGAATACTGGCCGATGTAACCTACCCAAGACTATTGTTGGCTAGATAAACAGACAGAATACTGACTGATGTAACCTACCCAAGACTATTGTGGGCTAGAGAAACAGGCAGAATACTGACTGATGTAACCTACCCAAGACTATTGTGGGCTAGAGAAACAGGCAGAATACTGACTGATGTAACCTACCCAAGACTATTGTTGGCTAGATAAACAGACAGAATACTGACTGATGTAACCTCCCCAAGACTATTGTGGGCTAGAGAAACAGACAGAATACTGACTGATGTAACCTCCCCAAGACTATTGTGGGCTAGAGAAACAGACAGAATACTGACTGATGTAACCTCCCCAAGACTATTGTGGGCTAGAGAAACAGACAGAATACTGACTGATGTAACCTCCCCAAGACTATTGTGGGCTAGAGAAACAGACAGAATACTGACTGATGTAACCTACCCAAGACTATTGTGGGCTAGAGAAACAGACAGAATACTGACTGATGTAACCTCCCCAAGACTATTGTGGGCTAGAGAAACAGACAGAATACTGACTGATGTAACCTACCCAAGACTATTGTGGGCTAGAGAAACAGGCAGAATACTGACCGATGAAACCTTCCCAGTACTATTGTGGGCTAGAGGAACAGGCAGAATACAGACCGATGTAACCTACCTAAGACTATTGTGGGCTAGAGTAACAGGCAGAATACCGGCCGATGTAACCTACCCAGTACTATTGTGGGCTAGAGGAACAGGAAGAATACTGACCGATGTAACCTACCCAGTACTATTGTGGGCTAGACTATTGTGGGCTAGAGTAACAGGCAGAATACTGACCGATGTAACCTTCCCAGTACTATTGTGGGCTAGAGGAACAGGCAGAATACTGACCGATGTAACCTACCCAGTACTATTGCGGGCTAGAGTAACAGGCAGAATACTGGCCGATGTACCCTACCCAGTACTATTGTGGGCTAGAGGAACAGGCGGAATACTGACCGATGTAACCTACCCAGTACTATTGTGGGCAAGAGTAACAGGCAGAATACTGACCGATGTAACATACCTAAGACTATTGTGGGCTAGAGTAACCGGCAGAATACTGACCGGTGTAACCTACCCAGAACTATTGTGGGCTAGAGTAACAGGCAGAATACCGGCCGATGTAACCTACCCAGTACTATTGTGGGCAAGAGTAACAGGCAGAATACTGACCGATGTAACCTTAGTACTATTGTTGGCTAGAGTAACAGGCAGAATACTGACCGATGTAACATACCTAAGACTATTGTGGGCTAGAGTAACCGGCAGAATACTGACCGGTGTAACCTACCCAATACTATTGTGGGCTAGAGGAACAGGCAGAATACTGACCGATGTAACCTTAGTACTATTGTTGGCTAGAGTAACAGGCAGAATACTGACCGATGTAACCTACCTAAGACTATTGTGGGCTAGAGGAACAGGCAGAATACTGACTGGTGTAACCTACCCAGTACTATTGTGAGCTAGAGTAACAGGCAGAATACTGACTGGTGTAACCTACCCAGTGCTATTGTGGGCTAGAGTAACGGGCAGAATACTGACCGATGTAACCTACCTAAGACTATTATGGGCTAGAGTAACAGGAAGAATACTGGCTGATGTAACCTACCTAAGACTATTATGGGCTAGAGTAACAGGAAGAAATTGGAAGAGTTAGACAAAGCAACACCTATAGACACATTCAAGTTTGCTCCTGTACCTTTGAGAGTTTCTTCGATTTCTTTTTTTGTTTTCCCAAATGAAGGATTGTTTTAAAAGCCTTTCTGAAATCATCGTTAAATAGTGTATAAAGTATGGGATTAAGCGCGGAGTTGGCATATCCCAGCCAGATGATGGCTGCCTGTATGTGCACATTTAAATCACACGAGGCACAGAAACTTCTAATAGTATACATGAACAAAAACGGTATCCAGCACACAGTAAAACAGGCCATCACAATGGCCATACGCTTCGTTGCCCTTTGTTCTCGTAACTCGTATTTAGTCTTTATACTGTTAAGTTTTCCATTTCTCCTTGTAAAAGAGTTCTTATGTTTTTTTATTCGTGCGTTTGAGCTTCTTTTGGCACGCTTCTTAGAACTGGAGCGATGAGAGTTATTAGAATTGTTTTCATCTGTTTTATTTTCTTTGTCTCGATGACAGTGTCCATTTTTCTTTTCCATTTTGGGTAAACAGTGTATAAGGTTATCAGAGTTACTGGTAGATTCATCATTTTCGTCATCCACAAATGACTCCTGGCAGCTCGGGGTCCGTATGATGCTGATTTTGGGTGGACAGATGGTGTCCTTGGCCCAATTTGTTTGTGGTAGATGTTTAAATTCTGATTTACTGTCAGTTTTGTTGTTATGCTTGCCTTTGTCATTGATTCCGTAGTCGGTGTTTGGTTTCTGGTAAATTTTTGTTTTATTGTCATCGTTTTGAGGTTTTGCGCTATCGGTAGATATACTCATTTCTTGTGACGATGACGTCTTTTGATTTAAATAAAAGGATGGTTTTGGTTCCAGTAGAAAGTTTCCTGATGACTTTGCAAGCAGTGGACTTATTTGTGTGGCCTGATCTTTCATTTGTGTAAAATCTCCGGAATGTAACTCCATGCGACTATTACTTTCTGGCATAACTCCACTCTCCATATCACTTTCCATATGAAGCGAAAGGTTTCGTTTTGGTTTCAGATGTTTCATACGTTTTTTCAGCACAATGAATATTCTGACGTACAAGAAGGACATTAGAACAATTGGAATCACAAATGAACACATGGCAGAGTAGACCACGTAGCCTTCCGTCTGGAATAACACACATTCATAGCGACTCAGCAGGTTGTTATACTGGTATAACTCGGGGATCATTTCTCTCCATCCAATAAAAGGGGCAAGGGACACAACAATGGAGAATAGCCAAACGAATATAATATAAGCTAGAGCTCGCATTGGGGATCGGCGTTCAAAATACCACACAGGATATACAGTAGCAGTATAGCGATCCACAGCAATAGTAACTAGCCCCCATATAGAGGCAGTGCAGTAAAGTACGTCTATACACAGCCATACGCGGCACATCACATCCCCAAATATCCAGTACCCCAGCAGGTCATTTCCTGTCGAGATTGGTAATACCGTTAAGGCCAGCAGTGAATCACTCATTGCCAAGTTTCCAATCAAACAGTTGGACATAGATCGTAGATTTGGAAACTTGTACAATGCAAAACACACTAGGAAATTTCCGAATATGGTCCAAAGGGTGATAACTCCTAACAGTATTGCCACAAATACCAACACCCAGAAGGAAGTGAAGTTTAGTGAACATACAGGGTCGGCCAGTTTCCATCGAGTGGAGTTTGACATGCAAAGGTTGGCACGAAGGTGTTCCATCCCAAACATGTCGTCTCCACCCGTGGAGTTGGCCAGCGTACTGTACTGGTTGTAATGTTCATACACACTCGATACCTGATCTAGCGGTAAGATCAACGAGTCTCGTGGCGATTTCGTTGTATTCTTTAAAAATTCCATCACGATTAACATTCAATCACAGATACTAGGTTCCTATCGGCAACCCCACAGAAAAGTCCATAAATTCCTTTAGCACAGAAAATGAGTGTCACTCAAATAAGTTACGATATCACAAAATAAGTTACATCCATTCCGATCAAGGTTGACATCCAATTTATCACGACTGATTTATCAACAGTTTCATAGAAATCACCGGTGACATACATATATCACAGATAAAACGTAAATGTTCACTAATCGATTAGTTGTTATTTTGGTGGTGTGACCTATATCTTCATACATGTACTACACACACACCTTGTCATATTCATCTTCAATGAGGACTTTCAAAAGTCACTTGTTTCATCATATTAGATAGTACATCATCGTAAGTTTTACATTTCTCAGGTCCGTTTTGTAGATAACACATACAAGGCGGGCTGTTAACTTGCCTACCACTATCAGTTTTGTAGATAACACAAGTGGCAGGGCTGTTAACTTGCCTACCACTATCAGTTTTGAAGATAACGCAAGTGGCTGGGCTGTTAACTTGTACGATTCACAGTTTGTGAGTAACAAATAGGAGATTTGCCGGCTCAATTGATATCGTCTGTATGTAACACCCCAGGGCAGCTTTATTGGTTAGAGAGAAAAAATCGTTGGTCCACCATTGGTAAAGTATTTGGGAACACCGGGCAGCCATTGCTGAGGGAACAGATACCACAGAGCAACCATATTGGTTAGTGGGTACACATTGTGTTACTTTACCATCAACATTACACTGTACCAGTAGCCCCGTGTTCCACTAGCATCTCGCTGAACCGACTGTTACACTAGCAAGGGTTTGTCAACCCAAGACTGCTGCCTGTATCTTAGTGTCTAATCACAGACAAGGTGTTAGGATCACATGCTATGCCACCTCTGTCGTCGATGTATCGTTGTAAGCGACCAGTTGTTTATTGTCATGCGACCAGTTGTTTATTGTCATGCGGCTATTTCCAGTGCCATCACTTCTTCACAGTACCATGGGGTATGCCATTCCTATGGTTACCAAATTTGTCCTGGCTTGCTTGATTGTTCCTGTGAAAATAAAAGTTTTAAATTGTAAATGACATATTCTGCAATATCATTGAGGCATTTCATTCATAAATACTGATAACCCAAAATCTTTTTGTGTAAATAAATATACTTGGACTGATTGATCTAGACCATTTGATGTTCACTTCCAATGCCATAAGCCTCCAGTCGACACTAAATCATAGCAATACCTGGCTTTAGTGAGTGAAGGGAACAGTGCTCGAAATACACAATTGAATTAAACTGCAAAATTTCTGTGCATGTTCATAGTGATTACCATCAGATGGAGAGAACTGAAGCTGTGTTGAAGCTGAAGTGTGTCAGCACTTGTCACCTTGGTGCCGTGGAGGCAATTAGCCTGCTTGTTTCTTCATAGTTTACAGCGCTCCATATAATGGCTGGTTTGGGTCGATCAAACACAATCAATGGCATGCCAGTAAGCATTAATTGTTAAATTACTATATCCTCTGGTATTCTTTGATCTTAATTGTCATATTTTCTTAAAATATCATTATGACTGAAAAGGAGTGTGATTGATTATCTTTCAGCTCTTCTGATCTAAACTGCAAGTAATTAAAAAGCCAGCAGTTCTGATGTTTTACGTAACATGCAAGTTTTGTAGATTTAGAATTATGAGAGAAATTGGAATTGATATGCACTGTAGAACAAAAAGCATCCGTAAATATCTCATCATTGTCAACGTGTTTTTTGTGTAAATTAAAGATGAACAGTTAGATCGTAGGTTGTACATCTAAATGGCCAATAATTTCTCCATTAAGCCATTTCCATTTTTGGACCATTCTTGACACAGTCGTACAGTTTTGTACCGATGCAGGATGAGTGATGAAATCAGCAGCCGTAACCATCCCTTGAGTAACCAGACCGGCAGCCTTGACTTTTGTACATTGATCCCACCACGTCATATGAAATGTCACCGAAATCAAATTTCATCTTTTATGTCAATATTTGTTGCTTGTCTCTACTTCCTGCTGTGTAAGGGAGTGACTTTAGAAAGACTGCTCTTCTGACATGAGGCCAATGTCTTCTTCAGAACACATCGGAGGGAGCCAAGACAAATTGCACTCATTATATACTCTTCGACAACAAGTTTCAAAGAAAAAAATCGAAATAAAAGCACAATTGGCGTTAAGTTCTGCATGTGAGACTGTAAATTTGACTCAAGCTAAAAACAATTTACCAGTAAACACTCATTTAAAGTGTCTTTAATGAGGCTATCTAAAAGTTCCAAACAGCTTGGGTGATTAATCTTAGGTTAACACTGTGACAGGGTGTAACCAAGCCTTGGGCTTAAGCTTGAGCAAAGCGGAATTTGATGTAAATGCTGTACTTTAGAGAAAGCCGTCTGTCAGTGTTCACTTTGTAAGTTATTCCATTACCATATAACGTAATTTGCATTGGCGCTGTCCACCAGTCTGCTTAAGGACTAGGAATGAGAGATTCTCAATAGCATGTCAGAAGAAATCAGCTGTTAATTTTCATTCATTAACTACTGCTCATTGTAAGTTTTAAAGAGTTAAGTTTTGGAATATTTCAATAACGAATATTCTAAGCAGCAAAAAAAAATTGAAAACAGGAGAATTTCTAATCAGATATTGCAAACGTTTCCCTCCAGCTAATTACCTAATTTTGTCAATGGATGCATCACTTGAATTAAAACCAATTTTATTATCATAATTATTTATATCTTTTGGGTGTTGTTTGTATGTGATGTCCTTAACATTGACCTTAGTCATGTTGTCCTTGTAATTTTGTGTCCTTGACATTAACCCAAATCATGATGTCCTTGTAAGTTTGTGTCCTTGACATTGACCTAAATCATGATGTCCTTGTTAGTTTGTGTCCTTGATATTGACCTAAATCACGATGTCCTTGTAAGTTTGTGTCCTTGTCATTAACCTAAATCATGATGGTCTTGTGATTTTGTGTCTTTGACATTGACCCAAATAATGATGTCCTTGTAAGTTTGTGTCCTTGACATTGACCTGAATCATGATGTCCTTGTAAGTTTGTATCCTTGATATTGACCTCAATCATGATGTCCTTGTAAGTTTGTGTCCTTGACATTGACCAAAATCTGTATGTCTTTATAATTGTGTCCTTAATAGTGCATGATCTAAATCTTTGTCTTGATAAAGATGACCTTGACATTGACCTCAATCTTTATATCCTTATGATTTTGTGTCCTAGACATTGACTTAAATCTTATTCATGATAATTGTGTGTCCTTGAACTTGACCTTAATTGTATTTATATTATACAATATAAGTCCATTAGTTCCTGACAATTCAATGAGGTCTTGGACAAGGAAAAGCGTCAGATTTTGTATTTAATATGTACAAGTATGTGGTGAGAAGCAGAATATGAATATTCCATCATGCTGTTCATCCCTGACCTTTGAACTGTTTATAGCCCTTCGGCCCAGGTGAGCTTATGCCATACTGCGGCGTCGGGCTTCCGGCGTCCGGCGTCTGTCTGTCAACTTTTTCTTTTAAACGACTTCTTCTGAAGAACTGGAGGACCTAGGGTCATGATATTTAGCCAGTAGGTACCTTGGATGGAGTGCTATAAATTTTCCTCTTACTTACTTTCAAGGTCACAGGGGTCAAGTATGTTAAAAACCTCAAACAACAATATCCTAAGAACCATTTGGACTAGAGTCATGATACTTGGGTATGTTATGTAGACTAGCAGTGCAAATCTTTTTCTTAATTACAGAATGGAGGTCAAATGTCAACTTTAAGTGCTAGCCGGAGTCAAAGGTCAACGTGGGTTAAAAGCTTTAAAATTACAATTTCAAATTTCAGACAACAAGATCTTAAGCGTTTAAGAGATGTTAAAATGTCTTGTGTTCTAGTTACCAAATTTGGTCTGAAGTTACCTATATGTCAGTTTCATGTAACAAAAGAAACAGGTGAGCGATACAGGCCCTCTGGGCACCTTGTTAGAAAACTGGTTGCGAGAGGACATCCTGGTCTTCCATCGATGTGTTTCTGTATACAGAATAGCTAGCATTTCTGACATGGAATGCTTTTAAAGTCAACAAACACTCGAAAGGAATGTTTGATTTAAAGTTTATCTCTATAATAAAATAAACAGATAGTGAAATCAAGATATTCAGGTTGTCAAGTTAATATTTATGTGATATAAAATATTTACCAAAGATGATATAATGATAGTGACTTGAGATGAACTGGTGTTCATTATGTCACCTTGTGTTGGTAGTTGATTATTTACTGCAGAAATTTAAATCTAATGTCGTACATTATCTGGCAGGTTTCTATGGTAACTCATGTAATTGGAGAAAATATTAAAACGCAGATGATGTAACACATGATTATAGAAAGCAGCGCTGGCCTATTATGTCAATATCTGTGACACATTCTTACACGGCTTCTCCTCATACATAAACACTGTCCTACGTGTCTTTATGGCCTACGTCACTGCAACAACAATTTATCCCCCAGGGGAGGTAACTCAAGCCTATTTTTGTCCTGTTGCAGACCCATTGATGTCAAATCAACTGTAATTATTATTGAACAACAAAAACTAGGGTCTTCGTGAGTAATGCATCTCTCACTAGTTTTTCGCTGATTATTTAGGTGTAAATATGACGTAATTGTGTTATCTCGCTGTGCTGATGGACCTTGACCTCACGGTTAATCAGATCTAGTTAGGGAGTGCCTAGCACTGTGTGGGTAGACCACACCTCTAATAATGTTACAGCTGTAATGTAATCTGTCATAATTTACTAATGGAGCTTCCATTTAAACAGCAAATCAATTGCAAAATATTGTTATTGTCATGTTGATTTACCATCAATATTCTTTCAGTGTCAAAGATCTGTTTCAATGGCTTTGTAAAGTGTTTAAATTTTCAGTAATGACCATAAAAACTTGGGTAAATTTTCATATCATCCGTGTAAAAATCAACAACTAAAACTTGAAATACGGTTATTAAATGTATTAATGTGTAAAATTGTTTAATTATCCTCAAAATTACAAATCAGTGACTTAAATAAGATGCTTTGCTACCCCGTTTTCCTGTCATTTTCGGAGACTACCACCCCTGCTTACTGCACATTACGTATGCAGGAACTATTGGTGTTTACATATATGCCCCCATTTCATTGGTAATGTAATTGAAATATAGAAACATATACTCCTTTGTGGGCAACCATTTAAGATTGTTCACGGGTGATTTCCAACAATAGTTCAGCATTTTAGGATTTGAGGTGCATCACCAGGGCTCCTAAAATTGTCATAAATTCCTTTTTGATAAAATATTAAAGCTTATATGATACGCATAAAACATGTAACAATGTTTTTACTCTTCTGTTTTGGGGTGGTATTACAAATGCACAGCAGAAACGGGATTCGAACCTGCGACCTCCAAACTTTAGAAGAACACTCTAACCAATTGAGCTACCTGTTGCCTGTGATTGGTTGAAACTCAGTCCAGCACCGCTACACGCTATTTGATAGCTTTAATTTGTGGTTTTCCTAGTTAAAGTATCACTAACATGATTTCTAGCAATAAATGGTTTCAAGATTAAAACATCTACAAATATAATTGTACAAGTTTATGTCTGAATATAGCAAAAAGTGGTGTTGGCTGAAGGACTGTTATTTCCCACTAGAACAGCAGAAGAGGAAATGACTGTCCTTTACATTAGGTGAAAGTGTCCCAGGAGAGTCTCATGGGGCTTAGCCTAAATAACCAATACCTTTCAATCACTCTACACAATTACATACAATTGTAGCCTCGACTTTCCTGCTCTCAGCAAATCCACATCTAGCCCTGTCCAGTTACCTCATACTGCAATGGTGAATGTCAGGCAGATATCCGACACAAAAAAGGTCAAAACTCGCGCGGCTGGCTATGGTGCAGGTCTAGATCTGCTAACTAACCTTGTCTGAACATGTAGTCTCTTTATTCTGTCCACCATTCTCTGGACTGATTAATACTCCACGTCATCAATCAAT